ACAGGGGATGCTCTGCCCAGGGAAGCTCAGACACCAGGTGGGGTCTCCTGGTGACCTCCTGCCTCCTCTCCACCTTTGGGAGCCTCCTCCTGAGATTCCTGGTGTCTGCAGCTCAGTGAGTGGGAGGCTGCTGAACAGGGGTACAAAGTCAGAGCGTGACCCAGGAACGAGCTGAGCCTTTGGGAAATGCCTCCCCAGGCTGTTTGCTCCCTGCCAGGGGCTGGCAGCAGGCCAGGCCTTTGCTTTGGAGAATAATCCGCTGCCTTTAGAACTTCCCAGCACTCCTTGGGAGTGAAAAACAAGTGTGACTGCTCAGGGCGCCGTGGGTGTGTGGGCACGGCTGGGTGACAAGGACAGGCTCAGGAGTTCATTCCCTGCCTGTTCCAGCCCAGCTGGGGACACAGCTGTCCCCTTCCTCCTCGCTGGGTGCTGGGCACCCCCCCTGGCCCATCTGCATCCCTGATATGCCACCTTCTTCCCGCTTCCATCACTCACTGCTGGCTGAGAATCCCCCTACACTTCCCATCCAGGACTTGGATCTGGGGACATCCTGCTCAGTGCCACCCCAGAGGTGACAACCAAAACATGTGTGTCCCAGGAGATGAGTGTGCTCCTGCCACCAGCTCTGCCTCAGTCCCCAGCGGGGAGCAGCAGAAAAATCTGAATTGCTCTGCTGAGAAATTAATCTTCTTTCCCTGTCTTAGCTCAGCCTGACCTAGAAGAACCACGCCCCCCCGGGTTGTTTTGTTTTTCCCTCTGTGGGGTGTTTAAAGGGAAAATTACAGCAAATGACCTGCAAAGGAGCTGTGGGAGACAGCCCTGCAGCAGGACAAAGCGGTTTTAGACAGGATTTGCCAGGCTGCCCTCTCCTGAGACCCTCTGAGCTGGGGTGGGTGGGCAGAGAAAATTTCACATGCCCAAGCACGGGCAGTGAAACAGAAACAGTAAAAGGTCAAGAGCTGTGTTGGGCTCCTCCTGGCAGGGTGCAGAGTCAGGGGGACCTTTGGCTGGAGAGAAGCAAAAGCAGAGCTGCTGGAGAGAGAAATGGCAATGGGAGCAAAGCAGCTGCAGTGCTCGTGCCCTCCCTTGGTGGCTGTGGTCCTGGGGTGGTGACAGGGGCTGGGGCTGGGTGCAAGGACAGCACTGACCACCAGGACAGCGACAGGAGGTGAAATATGCCTCTGCCAGACCCTGCTCCTGCCCCACACCAAACCTTCCACTGCCCCACCTCACATCCCTTTTCCTCAGTCCCTTCATGCCCAGGGATGAACCTGGATGGTTCAAATGCCATCTGTGGCTTCACAGGCACAGGCTGGGAGAGGGAAACCAGGCACGCCAACAGCAAAATGATCCTGACGAAATGCTGAGGCTCACATCCTGGGGGTTGCATCCAAGGAAAGGCTTCATCTACCTTTAAAGCTCCTCAGCTGCCTTGTGAAGGACTCTCCTCCTGGGCTGAAGGGCCAGGCTTAGGGTTAACCCTGCTCCCTCCCTGCCTCAGTTTCCCTTTTGTAAAGCTGGGGAAATAGAAAGGAAAGAAACCTCCAATCTCCTCTTGTGCCTGAGGTCTTTCTTGTGGCTCTGCTGTGGGGTTGCTTCCTGTTCCAAAGGTCTTGGAGGAAAGCAGGGGGGCCAGGCAGTTGTTCTGGTGCTCATCCATGTGTTTCTGTATGTGTCTGCCTGTCCCTCCCTGCAGCACCTGTGGCTGTCCCACACCTTCTGAAAAGGGTCTTGAGTCCAGAACCACCCCCACCTGGGGTCTGTGCGCTGGGAGAGGGGCAGTGCTGGGAGCCAAAGGGTTTTGAGGCAGCTTTTGGGCAGCAGCCCCGTTTTGGAGGCTCAGCCCTGTGTCTCGGGGCAGGAGGTGCAGGCAGTGTGAGCAGCAGGGATTATGGCTGCTATAAAAAGCAGCAGCATCTCTCCTCTCTGCTCCCTAAGGCGCTTAGGGGAGGAAGGAGGGAATTAAAGATCAACCTCCTGCACTAAAGTGATGCAGTCAGAATAGCCTGGCACACTCATGAGAACCCCTCCTCCTCAGCATCCCCAAAAATCCTCCCCTGGGCAAAGAGCATCCATGCTCTTCTTGGTCCCTGCTGCTGGATCATCAGAAACTTGTCCCCTGCTCAGAGGTTGTGAGGGGCAAGGAGAGGGCTGAGGAGGACAGCCTGCAGAGGGGGTCCTGGTGGGTGAGAGGAGCACACGAGGATGCTGTACCATTTGCACACCCCAAATAAAAACGTGGAGCACTCCCCCCCCCTCACAGCCTCACTCATCTGCCTGCTCCTGTCCTGCCTCCCTGCTTCGAAGGTCCCTTGAGGATACTGGTGACCTTCTCCAAAATGCAGTCAGCTGCATGGGTGCATGGCTGGACAGAAAACCACTGAGGTTTTGGAGGGACAGGGGTTGTTGCAGCCAAAAGCCATGGGCTCTGTGGGCTTGGGACTCTGGCAGGCTCACAGTCAGCCTCAGAGCCCAGCACTAGTGCGGGCTCTGGTGACATGTTTGGGGACAAAGCAGGGGGGAGGCAGGTGCCAGACGATGGCAGCGATGCAGGGATGGGGGGATGAGAAGGAAGGAGGTGTGGGAGCAGCTGTCCTCTGTGGTATTCCCCGTTCGTGGCAGTTCCCGTGGGGTCGGTTCCAAAGGCAGCCCGGGGTCCTGCCCAGCTCTGTGCCAGCCCTGGCTCCTGGCATTGCCCAGGTGTGTCCCCGCAGCTCGGGGACGTGGTCGGTGTTTCCCCTCACCGTGGACGCTGCCGCAGCATCACCCAGTGCTGGGTGAGACCCAGAGGTGGACCCAGCAGCAGGATCCCCCCGGCAGCGCTGCAAACGAGGGATTTCCGAGAGGGAGGGGGCTCAGGGCTCCCGGCCAGCCCTCCCCGGCGGCTGCCGTGGCCACAGGAGGGAGCTGGGCTCCTTCCTTCGGCTCCCGCAAGAGCGCACGGGCTCGGGAGGGGACAGCCACTGCCAGCGAGTCACTGCTCGCTGCAGGAGCATCTCCTGGGGTCAGCCCGGGTCGTGCGGGACCCCGAACGTCTCAGGAAGGGAGCGAGAGCCCGGCTGGGGTGGAGGAGGCTGCCTCCATGCTCAGGGAAGCCTCCACCTTGTTCCCAGCAGCTGAGGGGTGGTGGGGCTGCAGTGCAGAGCAGGCACGGGGCTGATGCTGCGGCCGTGGGGGACCGCTTGTGGCCGGGGGTGGCGTGTCCCCACGGTGAGCAGTGCCACCGTGAGATAGTGTGTCACTGCCCTCCCTCCCAGAGGCACCTGGGTGACCCCAGTGTCCGCCCTGCTGGTGCTGAGAGAGCAGGGGAGCAAGAAAACCAGTCCCTCCCTGTAGAACCTGCTGTCCCCAGGAATCCGGACCTTCCCGGTTTCCCCAGCCCGCAGCCAGCTCTGGCGCTGCAGGGGTTATTGCCAGGGGTTGGCAGTCACTGGGGGGATCATGCCCCAGCATCCCCCTCGTGCTGTCCAGCTCTCCATCCCTGCCCAGCTCTCCATCCCTGCCCAGCTCTCCATCCCTGCCCAGCTCCCCTCACAGCCCCAGCAGCACAGGGGAAGCCTGGCAGGTGCCAGAGCAGCCACGCTACAAACCCAGGATTAAAAAAAACCAGAGAAAGTTACGGTGGCAGAACACAGAACACTGTCAGATCGGAAATGGTTAATTACAATTACGGGGGGAGGTCTGAGGTACCGTCCTCCACCTTTTTGCTTGCTGAAAAGCCGTGGGACTGCTGGTAATGGCTCTCATTACAGCCCTTGGAGCAGCAGTTTGAAACCACATCCATTTTGCTTAACCGCTTTCAGAAGGGGAAAATGCTGTTCTGGCCCCTGCTGTTTGTGGTGTGCTGGGTACTGCGGGCTGGGAAAAGGCAGGACTTGTCTCCCTGAAGGCAGAGGCACAAGCCTGGACCACGGCCTTTTCTCAGGACTGGCTCTGTGGCACATCAGCATAACCTTTTCTTTTAAGTTCAGAAACAATGTGGGAGTAAAGGGATCTTCATGAAGGAGAGGCACAAGGAATGAGCTTGGTCCTAGTGCCTCCACTCTGCTACACAGACAAATTATGGATCCTGGCTTAAAACCCATATTGAGTTTTTTAAAAGCTGATCTTAAAACAGCAATGAAGCCATGAGCATGCTCCTTTTCCCACATGGTTTGGTAGCTTCCCCCACACATTTGCTGTTGCTGGCTTCCCCATAGCCCCTTCAACAGCAAGGAGCAGGGATCTGCCTGGAGTTACAAATGGGAAAGAATGTCTTTGGGCACAGAGAAGGGCAGTTTTGTTTGGTGGTGCTCTGGCTGGGAAGAGGAAGGTGTCCAGGGAAAAGAGGGAGGTGTCCCTGCTCCATCAGTGCACACAGGGCTGACCCCAGTACAGAGCCAGCACCCCTTGGAGTGGCAGGAATTCTGGGGTGATGTAGGAGGTGGTCACACTGGGATGAGTCTAAGGATGCAGACATACAAGGGCTATTTTCCCCCATGAAGAGTTTGGATTTCATGAAGATGAATCCCTGTCCTCCTCTCCAGCAACATTCCTCAGAAAAAGGGATTGAACCTGGTCCCAACAGGGCTGCTCCCTGTCAGGGGGTGCTGGGCTCAAGCAGAGATGTGGTGGAGGGAATGTGATGGCCCTGGCTTGGCTAAAGGCCTAGAGGAATAAAGCTCCCTGGGAAGTTTGGGCTGTCACCCTGCTGCCCCAGAGCCACAGGACACGCTGCTGAAAAGGGCTGCGAGCTGGAGCTGCAAAGCTAAAGGCAGGAGTGATGGCCCAGGCAGATCACCAGTGTACTGGGGGATTTGGCCCCTGCTGACCTTTCTGTGCCTTTCTGCAGCTCCCAGCTCCCTGCTGTGTCCTGGCCCTGTCCCCAGAAATGCAGACAACCACATTTCTCTGCAGCCTCCTTGTCTCCTTTGCCCTTTTCCCCACCCCATTCCCATGCCCCTGGACAGCCACACGCCAAAGGACCGCCCGGCCTCTCTGCAGCTCATTTCTCTTGCAAGCTTTGTCTGGTGGCTGTATTTTGCATTTGCTTTTTCTTTTTTGCTATTCACAGGGAACAAAGAAGGGGTCACAAACCCAAGGGCAGACGTCAGGACAGGGCTGACAAGCCTGGGAGAGAGGGTGATGCCACCCACCCCCGCAAGGTCCTTCCAGGCTGGTAAAACCAGGGGGAGAAGGGCTTTGCTCCACGGCGCCGGCTCTGCCCATCCCTTGCTCTCCCTGCCCGGCCCTGCGAGGCGGCTGCTGCACTGTGTCACTGCTCCATCCTTCTGCTCCATGCCTCCTCTCCATCGTGCTGCTCCATCCCGCCCGGCCCGGCCTGGCGCCGGTCACGTCTGCTGGGGCAGGTGGCAGCTCTCGCCGATGGCGATGACCACGTCCTGGGGCTGCCGCTCCCGGTGCCGCGGCGCCTCGGGCATCTCGCTCATCTCGTTGACGCTGTTGCTGATGCAGTTGATGTCGCTCTTGTTGCTGTTGTCATCCGGGCTGGGGCCAAAGATCCACTCTGGAGGAGGGAAAAGCACAAAACGAGCCCCGGGTTACATCCAGCTCTTTGCCCAGAGTGCAAGGCTCTGAAATTGCTTGAAAATCGCTGCCTCCAGCTACGCCCTACCCTCAGTGCTTCCCCCTCCAGGAGTGTCCCTTGCCCATCCCTGTCCCTTCATCTCCTCCACTCCCCTGGTGTTGGCATCTCTGCTCTTCCCAGCCCTGGGCTGCTTTTCAGGCTGCTGGTTTCTGGAAGCCCTCCCGGCTTAGGCAGATGAAATCACCCTGTTAATCCCAAAAATGAGAGTGAAGTGCCTCCAAAGTGAAGTGTGCATCTGGGGTCTCTAGCAATCTATTTCCTAAAGTGGGATTTTGCTGTCAGACAGAGTAAGTGATTAAATAACTATGTATCATCCAAATGGGGCTGGAGATGTGGCTGGGACATGGCTTTTCTGCCTTGAGAGTACATTACAGCCATGCCAGGGCCTCAGACCCTCCAAGGCAGTTTTGGGGCTGTGCTTCTTGCTGGTCACCAGAGCCCCAGGACCTGGCTCTGAGCTGATCCAGCCACTGCCACAACCCTGGGGGGGAATGCCCCTCCAAAACACAGTGTCACTGCTGGATGACAGCATGACGGGAACATCCCCTGCAGCACAAGGGAGGGCAGCTCAGTGAAAGCAGGTGGTGCTGCTTCCCAAACTGCTGTCTTTTCAAAAACGTGGCTGTTTGGGCAGGGAGAGGCCCACTGAGATGGGAAGGCACCAGCAATGAGGATACCAAAGCTGGCGAAGCCCAGGCGAGGGGAGAGTAGCCCCAAGACCTTGTGGCTGTGGGCAGTGGAGCACCAGCACTCCTCTGCTTTAGCTCTGCCACCAAAAATAAAGCAGAGGTGGCTACCAGGAGGCAGACAAAAGGACCAGCCTGGTTTTGTTGTTCCTGGGGAACTCTGCTTACTTGCCACTGGATCTCACAGAATACAATTTCTCTCCTTTGTGCTGTGGGGTACTTTCTGTCCCCACAGGACATTCCAATTATGGCTTCTTCAGTAGAGGACACAGGTTTCCTGATGGAGCAGGGACACAGAAATGCCATCCCAGTGAGATGATGTCTTTCTCATGGGCTGTGGAAAAAAGTTTTGCAGCAAAACTAGGACTGAATAATGGCAAATGCCAGGGTGGGATGCCAGGCGTGAAGTGAATGGAAGATCTCATTTCTCAGCTCACCAGTGGTAGCCAGACATTTCTTCAGGTGTGAGCAGAGAGACAGGAATGACCTGTAGTCTCTCTGTGCTCAGTGTGTGCACTGTAAGTCAAATTTTGAGCTTCTTTTGAGACACCCAAAGCTTCTCTTTTTTTTTTTTTTTTCTTTTTCTTTTTCTTTTTAATAAAAGCCAAAAGATTTGTTGGTTTTGCAATGCAATATTTGAATTTTTTAGCCACAGCTAAAAATCCATTTAGCCACAGCATCCCCAAGAGAGCAGAACATGACTTTCAGGATGATGCTCATGCTCTGGAGCCAGGGTAGGTGACCACCCTGCCAGGGGAACAGGACAGGGAGTGGAGGGGGTTGTGCCCCACTGCCAGCATGGGCTGCCTGGAGGAGGGGGCTGTGTCCCACCCTGGTGGGGCAGAGCTCCCACCACACTGGGCACAGGCAACATGTCCAGAGAATGACTGTTTTTCCTTGGCTTTCCTGTTTTCTTCACCTTCATCGCTGTGCTAGCAGGGTTTGCTGGTTGTCTAACAGGAAAGGCAGGAGAAAAACCACCACAGCTCCCTCAGCCACCGCAGTGCTGGCAACAGGGATTGGGAAACTCAGCAAAGAAGTGGTCCAAAGGTTTTGGGGAGCCCTGCATCTGCCCTGAGTCCCAGCCAGGACATTTAGCTTTCACTTGTATAACCCACCTGAGGCTGGGCTCCCCATCACAGCCCTTCCCCAAGGGAAATCAGCCAAGCCCAGAAGGCTCATTTAGGGCTTTTTTCCTTTATAGCTTTGATTTTGCTTGGTGTTAGACTAGAGCCCAAACACTCCACCACCTTCTTTGTGGTCTGGTCCATCCCAGACAGATCCTCTTGTCCCCAAGACCTCCTGCAGCCCCCACACAGCTGCCTGCATGAGGAGAATCTGAAGGCAGTAACAAGATTGCCTCCTACAAATACTATTAAAGTTCTCAGCTCTCCTTCCTTGACGTCAGCCACAAAACTCCAGTGGGAGCAGCAGGAAGGAAGGGGAATAATCCGTAGAAAAAGGGGTGATGGGTCCTTAAATATCCCGGGAGCCACTGGGTAAGGATTGCTGTGTGCAAGGAGAGGCAAAGAGTGTTGCATGCCTGTGAGTAGGGGTAAGTGGCATCTGGTGGCCAGATGATGAACCCCTGGTGACATCTGTGGGCACAAGAAGAAGCAAGAGCTGGATGAGGCACTGTGGTAAAGGCAGAGAAATGCAGGGGATGGGTGTGTTGGGAGAGTACCAAGGACACCAGCAAAAGCCATTTGCAGGGAGAAGTGTCACACTGCATTGTCACCAAAGGGGATGTGGCTGGCCAGGGTGCCTGGGGAAGGAGGCTGGTGCCACAGTCCAGCTCCTGGGTGAGAGCAGGCTGGATTGTGCGTGCTAATCTGAACCACTGCTTCCCTGGGAATTATTTCTGGAGCCTGCTGGATCTAATTACCCAGTAATCTGCAGGAAGATGTAATTAGGCTGTCATTAGAGGGTATTTACTGCGATGCCTTTATGATTTGACTGTGTAAGTAAGGAGTGAAGTAATTACACAATTACATGTTATTTGTGGCCATTTATGGCCTGTAACTTCAGCGTGTTGCCATGTGTGGAAGAGGGGAGCGAGGCCCCGTGGAGCTGGCAGAGGATCTCCTGCCAGCAGGACCCTGGAGAAACAACCATAAAAATGTCAGCACCCTATGTCCCCTGCCAGGCACAGCCAGCTCTGTCCCAGCCAGGCTCCATCCCCCCAGCTTCTCCCTCTGGCTCCTGTCAGTTTGAGGGTGAGGAACCAAGGTCTCTGGGGTCACTCATGGCATGTCTGGGGAGGGATGAGGGAGAAGAGACAGGAGACCTGCACATCTCTGGCGTCAGTGGGATTAAACCTCGCTCTGATGCAGAAGGAACTTTGCAGGGGATGGGAGGCACAACCTCACGTCATGTGCCAAGGCTGGCTGGAAACCTTGGACAATGAACCCTGCACAGGGGTGTAGTCAGGTAAGGGGGTGGCCAAGGGCTGGGAGCCAAGGGGTGGTGGCCAGCCAAAGGGAGCTGCAGCCCTCAGCACCATGGCAGGTATTTCTCTCTCCATCCCTTACAGCTGGCAGCGGGGATGCATGAGCCACAAAAAACCAGACACATGGAGGAAAACAAAATCCTCTTCTGGGTCTAAGTCCACATCTGGGTTCACACAACCTCCAGCCAGAAGGTGATCAAAGTTAGGCTGAACCTAATGACACCTAATGGATCTGGGACAGCTACAGGCAGAGCTGGGATGAGAAGGGATCTCACAGTGTGCTCCTGGGGCAGCAGCACATCCACACCCAGGACAGTCACACTTTGGAGACAAGAAAAGGCATTGCCTGTCCCTACCCAGCCACTGGAAGGAGCTTGTAACACATGCTGCAAAATCCAGGGCATGTTCACGGGTGTGTATGTGAATGTCTTGGATAAAAGAGAGGAACAAAGTGACTTTCTCAGCCAGGCTGGGGAGCAGCATCCAACCCAGAGACACCTCTTCCTGCTGGTCAGGTGCTGCTGAGGCTCCGTGTGCCTGCTGGGGTCTGCAGGGCCAGTGGAGAGGTGGGAGGTGCTGAGGTGGGGTGAGATCGATACGGAGCGATCGATCCAGAGCAGCTGGAGAGAGGAGATAGAGCAGACTGGGCAAATCGGGAGCTGTGGAATTGCAACTCTGTTATTATTATTATTCCCAAGTAGCAGAGTGATGTGGCACAAAATGCACCTCTCTGGCTCTGTCCCAGTCTTTGACAGCACCCCTGGAAGCTGGACCCCTGGGATATGCTGGATTTTTGGGGACAGAAAACACTGGGGCTGCCCAGATGTCACGGTGTGCCCTTCTCGTACCAGCAGTATGAGGGCTGGTCCTTGCTCAGAAACCCCTGACAGAACAGGCAGCAGGGAGCAGCCTCCTGTTGTATGGGTGCAGAGGGGCACAGGGTTGCTGTGTGCCCAGTGTCACCCCAAGGGGGTGGCCGGGTCCCCTGCATTCATTGGTGGCAGGGTAGGATGCCTATGAGGCATTTCAGCTGCTGAAAAAGAGACATCCCAGGCAGAAGAGCAGAAGGGGGTGGGAGAAAGGGCTGAAATTTAAATGCAGCCTGGTGAGTGAGACATTCACAGTCCCTGTAGAGATGGAAACAGGAAAGGAAGGGGCAACATGTTCGATGAACAATCAAACTCGTGCTCTAGTTTTGCTTTAAATGGAGCTGGGTGTGAAAGCAGCTGCTAAAAAAGCTCTTTTCCCATCAGCAGGAGGAGAAGCACCTCTTTCTTTGAAACATGATCCTGACCCAGCAATCACATTGTGCTCTGCAGCAAGGCAGGGCCAGCTCTGGCCGCAGCGTTCCCGATGGACATGAGTTCAAGGGTATCCCTCGTGTCTTTGACACGATGCAGCAGTCACAGCTGGATGTTGTAGCTGTCTCATTTTCTGGACAGACTCTACTTATTCATTACCAAAATCAACAAATAACTCCCAGGTTTGTTCTGATGGAAAATCTGTGTCTGCCCCTGGCAACAGTAATTTGTTAGAAACCCCACTTTCCTCTTCAGATTCACTTCTTTCTAAATGAATTTGATGTTAGGGTTTGCTCTTCCTTCCCTGCTTCTCAGAAATTTCTCAGCTTTTCTGTGCTGGCTGAGTCAAAATTGTCCTGCACCCCAAACAGCATGAGCACTCTGCTTTGCTGATGGACAGGTAAGGACACTGCTCCTCTGCAGAGCTGCCACCAGCATGAAGCATCTGGTGGGAGAAGGGGTGACATGGAAAAGGCAGTCATTAATTATGATATTCTCTTAAAAACAGCTTCTCTGCATGCACCAGAGCAACCCTGGACCAAGCCTGCATTTGATCCCAGTGCCATCCATCAGGCAGCATTGCAGCTCCAGAGAATGGGTCTCTGAGAGGTGGTGACTCAGGTGTGGTAGGTGGGAAGCAGTGGTCCTGGGGGTGGATATTTGCTATCCACACCTTCCAGAGGCAGAGTGAAGGTGACCAGAGTGTGAGGAGCCCTGCTTGGTCTCAGCTCACGGGAGACCAGTGCGTGCAGGGCAGCAGAGAAACACAGCCCTCGCCCCCAGGACCTGCCACAGCCCATCCCTGGACCACACGATGGCAGGAATGGGAAAGCTGCTGTGGGATGGTGCATCCCTGAGGCCTTGGTCGATGCCTGGCAGTGTGTGCTGGAAGCCATCCCTCTCCTCCAGCTCTGACTCCACAGGTTTGCCCTCAAATGCAGCTCTCCTGGAGTGGACCCTTTTTGCAGACCACCGTGGCTCATTGTCTGGCCAACAGCCCCAGCCTGTGAGGGGGACTGTGAATTATCCTACAGCAGCCACTGCTTCCCCCAACAACACCTCGGGAGCTCCTGATGCACCCCCATGCTCCAGAAGGGAAACAGGCAGGGATCACTGTGAGAGGTGGTTAGAACCGACATGGAAAAGCAGAAGGGAACCTGACGTGGTTTCTTCCCACAACTTTGGGAGTCAAAGGAATTATCCTCAAAACAGAGCTGGAAAAGAAGAGGTGTAAGTCCTCTCTGATGGACCTAAGATGCTGTCTGCAATCCCTGCGGTGGGCTGAATTATCCTCAGATCCCTGAGGTTCTGTGTGGACCAATTAAAAGTGGATTCCCTGTCTCTGCAGGATCACCCAGCAGCTATTTTCAGCAAAGCTACATTCATGCACAGTTTCTTTGTTCAAGGAGACTGTTTCCTAAAGAAGCCTGAAATGTGGAGGTTGCAGATAAGGCTGGAAAACAAAAATATGGCTGGTGGGTCAAAAGGGCAAAGAAAAGAAAGACCCTGCCCCAAGGATGGCATCGGGTTCTGAGCAGTCCCAAAGCCATCGCCCAGCACAGTCCTGCCAGTGCCAATGACCCTCCCCTGCCTTGCCCCAGCTGGGCATCTGCCTTGGGCCCATTCCCGAGGGAAAAGTTTCCTCCAAGGTCTCCTCTGGAGATCGGCAGCCCGGAGGAGACCTTGGCTGACCCTTGGCAGCCAGGGTCTCGCTGCACGGCACTGCTCCCACGCAGACCAGCAGACCCTTCCCGCGTGGTTCCCGTGCAGGAGCGAGATGCTTTCCCCTTTCCCGGCGACCGCACGCGTGCAGTCTCCATGGCAACAGCTTTGTTTCCAGTCAAACTTTTTATTTTTTCCCCCTTTTCCTCCTTTTTTTTTTTTTTAATTTTAAATCAGAGCGATATTCAGCGAGCTGCCGGGGACGGAGGAGGGAGGGCGGGCTGATCCGGGATTGCAGTAATTAGGCGCCTCGTACGTCGGTGACAGCCTTGTCATTTGCCAAGCCAGCTCCTCGCCGCAGCGCCGGCTCTGGCAGCTCTCCAGCGCTTCGGAGTTAAGCAGCTTTCCAAACGCTTCGACCCAATTTGCCTTGCCTGCTGGTGGGGTCTGAGCTGTGCTCACGCAGGAGCCTTCCTCCCACCCTCCTCGGAGGGCTCGTGTCCAACCCCAAGCAGAGACATCTGGTGAGTTTTGGGAAAACCAAATATGAGACTTGGTCAGCTCGGAGCCAGCAGGAGGGCTGGAGAGAAATGAAGGATTTTGGGGCTCTCCTTGGCCAGGTCTCTCCAGGAAGAGCTGAAGAGGGGTTCTTTCAGAGCCCTCTTATCCATATCCAGGTGCTCTGCCCTCCTACCCTCCAACAATGCATCTTTCCTCCTTCTCCCATGCAGCCTCCCATTTTCCACTCCTCCCCAGCCTGCTGGGCATCACAGCAGCGTTCATGTCCCCCTGGGGATGCCTGGGCAAGCTCTAATTGATTTTTTTTAAGAAGCATCTGCAAAGAGAGGTGTCAGTGTCTCAAATACCCGTTTAGATTTCACAGGGAAAAACCTTGGCAGCATCCCGAGAACCCCTTCACCACCAGAAACTGAGCCCAGCACCTGCCTCTCATTGCTCCTGTGAGAGCAGGGGCCTGCCTGATGCTTTGACTCCCCAAGCCGTGTCCGACAAGCTCTTATTGAGGAGTCGTCATCACCCCTGATGCCTCCAAGTGACTGTTTAAAGCAGCGATTAACTATTCCCACTTTAATCTCCCTGAAACAGGCTCCAGCCCTTTGGCATCTTATTTCCATCTCTCCCCGTATATTTTCTGAACATGATTAGTGCAGAAATGCTGATAGCAGAGGCTGGAGCTGCTGCCGAGTATATAAATCCAGGCATTGTGTTAAGGCAGCTAATAGAGCAGATTCTTATTTACTGTCCCTCGGTCTCTCTGTCCAGTCCCTAGAGTAATTTTATGCAAACTCATTCAAATTAAACCCCTTCTCTTTAAAGGCTGTTCCTTGGCAGTGTTAACAAACACAGTCTCGTCCGCTCTCCTCCGAGGACTGGCTCATTTTAAGTGTAAAAACTGTGGGAAGATGGGCCTGGAGTGCTAACTAGGATGAGCTGGAGGCAGCCTTCAGCACTGAGGGGTGCTGCTGGAGTTTGGGAAATGCCTTCTCCTCTCTGCCTGGAGGGGGAAGAAGCTCACATCTGGATTTCCAACCCCAACTTGGACAGATATTACCTCACCCCGGGACAGGGAGGATGCTTTGCTCTCAGCAAGGGGTGTTAAAGTGGGAAAAGGCTTCTTCCAAAGTGGCAGGAAGCGGGCAGACCCCAGTGCTGTCCCTGTGCTTGTCCAGCCCACGGGATGGCCGTGGTGCTGTGAAAGGCTGTGGCAGTGCCTTTGCAAAGGCTTTGCAAGAGAAGGGACGCCCTGCTGACCTCGTCCCACGCAGAGGCTCAAGTTAAAGCTCACCAGGGAACACTGGAGCCGAGCTGGGAGCAGCACACCTGGGGCCCACCTGGGCAGCTGCAGCCCTCTCCGTGCCTGCAGGGACAGGGTGTTCCTGTGGATTTGGCCCTGCTTTGCAGTACTTTGAGCACCCACATCTGTGCTCTCCTGCATCAGGGACCACAGCAATGGGGACAGGGTGTCTGCTCTGCAGGGGCACGGGGACTGGACTGGCCCTGCCTCGCCTCGGGGCAGTTTCTAACCTGGCCTGACCTGGTCCTTTCAGCTTCTTGGGGCAGAAGTGGGTATATTTTTAGGTGCTGTCCCCACTGCCTACCTTTGTGGGGAAGGCAGCACTAAATCAGACGTGATGTTACAGGCCCAGCAAGCTGCTGATTAAGTGTTAAATTTAACACTTTAAGAAATATATCCTTTTCCTTCCATCTGGAGTGAAGAAAAACTCCTCAGCAGCAACTCCCTGCTGTTTTCTAGGCTCAGCCTCTTGTGAGATCCCAAGTACTGCTCCCTGCAGGAGGTCTGACCTTTCTTGTCCCAAATAACCCCCCTCCAAATCCCTGTGTCCTGGATCTGCTGGCCCTTGCCTGGTCATGACCCTCTGCCCAAAGGCCTTGGCTTGCCCTCCCCTGAGCGAGGCAGGGGTGCTGCCCACCCACAGGCACTGCTTGGAGTTTTGGCTGCTGTGTGTCTCCTGTGTCCCAGGAGCAGGGAGATAAAGCGGAATCATGAATGAACACGTGGATTTTGTTCCAGATGAGTGTGATCTCCCTCCCCCTGCAGAGATGGAGCCTGCAGGGCTTCAACCCTGATTGAGGGTCAGGCTCAGAGCAGGGCTGTGCAAAGGGATTTCAGCCTCATTTCCCTGTGCAGGGCATTGCTCCCAGAGCTTTTGGGGATTTTGGACACATCTGCAGGAGCCAGGAGCTTAAATCCCTCTGGGGATCCCTTCTGGATCCCTATTCAAGCTGGAAAACTGCAACCAGCATGCTGAAGCAAGGTCCTGACCCTCAAAAGGACACGATGGCTGTCAGGGTGTAGGGGCCAAAAGTACCAAGGATTCAGATGGGAATTGGGCACATTTTCACTCCCCAGCATGAACAGCCTTACAAATGATGGGGCAAAGAGCAAGAGTATCATTGAAGGCTTGTCATAAGCAGCCAAGCACCTCTGCCTGGCCACAGCAGCCAGCACTGTTTGGGCTCTCAGCCCTGATGGTGAGGGACAGCATTCATCAGCAACAGGATGAAAAGAGGAGGAAGGCAAATCTCAAAAAAAAAAACAAACCAGTTCCCTCTTTGGGCTGTCATTGCATGGATTTGTTGCAGGGGCTGTGATGGCTGCTCTAAAGCAACCAGACTGCTGAGCTGGGTTTCCTAGGAGTTTGTAGACTCCCTGGTGTCTAATAAGGGGTTAAGCTCATATGGCAGATTTTCTTTCACTATGCACTAGTGGGTTGTTATTCTGTGCTCATGTATCTGTTGCCATGAAACTTTTCATGTTGGAGACCTCTAATCCAAGCTCAGTTGAAACTGGCCAAGAGATTTTACAGTCATTTGGCAACCCAGACTCACGCACACGCATTTATGCACACAGGAACAAGATCTGCTCCGTGAGGAAGGGGGCTAAACCCAAGGATTTTCTCTGGGAAGATGGTCAACACAGAACTCAGTTTGGAGAACCCAGCACATTAAACAAACCAACACTCTTGCAAATGCAAAAGGGCCAAAGCTTGGTCTAAAGCCCACCCAAATCAAAGGCGACACGCAAGGCAGCACGTCCAAGCTTGGCACCAGGCTCCTTTTGGCCACAAGCAATGCATGAAGCCCCCACTCACCTACAAAGTCGTAAATGAGGTCCTTGATGAGATGCCCGACGATGGCATACGCCACTGCCACCACCACCAGGGCTGCCATGAGGAGGTAGAGGACAGCCTTGGGCAGAGGAATGGCGTCTCGAGGAGGGGGCTTGTACTCCTTGTAGAGCTGGTCATTGTCCGAGTATGAGTACTGGAACAAGTGGTCCAGGCCAGCTGTGAAGTTGCTGGAGTTCATGGACTGGCTATTGGACAGGTAGCTGTCCTGTTCGGGGTCCTGGAGGACACTTACCACCGAGCTGGTGGTGGCTTCCACTTGCTGTACCAAGTTCAGAGTCTTGTTAACGCTGGGGAGGATTTGGGAAAGGAAAGTGCTCCAATCTTTGATGGCACTGATGTTGCAAATAATCATAATTGCAATGAGGAAAGAGGTCTCCAAGCTCAAGAGACTTAAAAGGGAGAGAAAGAGGTGAGAATTGCTGTGCTTACACCAAACCATGTACTGCAAAGCGGGCAGAGAAGGTCGGGATGGGGTACGTTTCTCATTTGCAAATTCTTACATGATCCCGTAGGGATGCATCTGTGGTACCTCGTCTCACTCCTGGAAATGCCTCCAGAAAACCCCTACGGGCATGAAGTTCCTTAGTAAAAAGTAGGTGCTGGAATGATTTTGACCGATATCATTTTTGTTCCTCAGCCGCCTGTCCCTTATGCTACTCACCGACGAAAACCAGAGAGACAGGACCCGGTAGATATTTTCAGTCATCTGGAAAAGAAAGATAAATTGCCCTTCTCCAGCTTTTTTTTCTTTTTCAGAGGCGATGGTCCTTGGAGAGACAGAAATCCCCGCGTGGCTCTGCCCCAGGCTCGGGGTGCGCGGTGCGGTCCTGGCTCTCCCGTTAGCGCTGCCCAGAGCGTTCGCAGAACGTTCAGAACGCTCAGACCCCACAAAGTTCAGCTGCTCCGGCGTGCGACCGGGCCGGCGGCGCGCAGCTCCCGGCCATTCCGGCTTGGCTTTCTGCAACTTCTTCTACCGGCATCTCCCGATCGATTCCTTTAAAGACAGAACCAAGTCAGAGACAGCGAGCATGCCGGCAGAGAGCTCAGCACCCGGTCCCCAGCCCAGTCCAGGAGCGGCCGGTGTCGGGTTTTACCTTAAAGACTTTTCCAAGCGCACAGATCCTCCCGCCTGATGCTCCAGCCCGTTTCATTGCGGGCTGGGTCCCCGCGGAGCTCCCGCACGCAGCCGCCGATCCGCAGCCGCTGCCCGGCGTGCGGGGTGCGTGTGACACTCCTCCCCGCTCTCTGCCCTCCTGCCCCTTCACCTGCCGGCTCTTCCCAGCCTCCCGGCCCCGGCAGCGAGGGGGATTAGCTGCCGGGAGGTTGGCTCCGAAACTCCTGAGCGTGCTGGGAAGCAGGCAATGCGTGCCGGCAGCGTAGGCTCAGCCTCCGCCGCTGCTCCCCGGGGAGTTAATCCCTTCGATGACAAAAGATGAGCTTTGATCCGTCTGCTGGATGTTCGCGGGGAGGTGCAGGGGAAGGCGGGGAGCAGCCCGGCTCCAGCCGCCCGCGGGCGCTGAGCTCAGCCTTTGTCTGGGAGCGGAGCCGCCGGCAGGCAGGAATCACATCGCGGGCGCTGCCGGGAGCGGGGAGGACATCATCGATCCCACCGCCAGCATCCCGCAGCAGCGATGCTCCCACAGCCCCGCTCCCGCCCCGGCAGCCTCCGCCCTGCAAAGTTTGGGCATCGGAGGGATGACTGCTTTGCAGAAAGCACGGAGGGTTTGAGGCTGAGCTCCCTCGCCGTCTCCCCTCCCCGCTAAGCTGTCTGTGCCAACTGGTAAGAGGCAGCCTCCGTGGTCACCTTGATAATGGTCTTAAACCGGTTCATGTTCCCTATAGATACAGCTCATCTGCCTTACTGGTGGGATCTCCGGGATCACTGAGTTCCTGGCTTGGTTTAAAGGCAGTGGGACATATTTAAAGAGGAGGAAGAGGAAATCATACAGAGGGGGAAATTGCCTTTCTATATTTGCAGGTGAAAATAAATCACAGCCCCCTCCTTTTTTTTTTTTTTTTTTTTTGGTGCTGCTTCCCCATGTAAGAAACAGCTGTCACGGGGGCAAGAAAATCACCACAATAAGCCTGAAAGCAGCCAAATGGAGCTTCTGAGAAATAATAGCAAAATATTAACTTTGTGTGTGTGTGCTACCAGCCAGCAGCAATCCTGGGGGTTGGAAGAGTGTAGAATAAAATGGCAACATCTCCTGTACAATAATATCACCAGGGTTTAGGTTGGTGATGGACAGATTGTACCAGCCCAGGAGCAAAGAAAATGTGGAGGAAAAAGCTTTTCTGTCCTCCCTGGAATGTACATGGCCCATGTCACAGTCACTTCTGGTGCCCAGGACCATTGAACAACATCCTAAAATTTCTTCTCACAAGTGACAGAGCTGTGACTGAAGGTTACAGAGGAATATCTGGGCAGCTGTATGGATACATATCCTGCAATGGGATGGGTCCTGATGTCCCCCTGCCCCAGCATCTGGATATCCAGAGTTGGAGCTGCTACTCTGCCTCCAGAGCATGAAGCTGCAGAGATGCTTTGGGGGCCAAGGCAGGAGTCAGGAGCTAAGGGCAAATGGCTCCTCTGTCAGATTCTCAGTCCTCCCACACCAGATTTTATCCTTCCAAAATGGAAAATGTGGCAATATTATTTTTTTATAGGAGCTTTTCAATGTGAAGTGAGTTTTGGGCTCTGTGCAGGGGTGGCACAGTGCAGTCTGACTTTGCTCTGCTCAGAGGCACATCCTTTGCCAGGGGTTCTTATGAGGAAAGAACAACTCCCAGGACATGGCCACTGGTCACTGGGGACCAAAGCTGGTCCAAATCTGTCCTTTCACCACAGCTGTTTGGTGCTAGCAGTTGCCATGGCACCAGGGCATCAACCAGAGGGAACAGGAGAGCATCTGGTCCAGCTGACCCACCCTGTGCCTGGCTTCAGCTGTGACTGTCCCAGGCAGGCTCCCACTGTGTTGCACCCCTTTGTCCCAGGAGGGGATGGAGCTGAGTGATTGGAGGCAAAGAGTTTGCAAAGGTATGGGGGGATTAATCAGAGCTGAGGGGCAGCTCTCTGTGTGCCTGGGGACAGCTGGTGACAACAGCCCAGTGGGACACAGGGCAAACCCCCCCAGTTTCCTAGCCCTCCATTGAGTTTTTTGTGGGAAGGGGCTGGAAAAGCACTTGGGGAAGCTCTGAGTTCTGCTGCAGACACTGCTCCATTAAAGGGGCTTAGGGCAATACCAAAAAAAAACCACTCCCCACCATTTTTATTTCTCTGCAGCGGAAATAAAGTTGGCTCCTTTCATTTTCATTAACACCCTTATCAATTCAAAATGACTAAATAGATGCTTAACTGTTCATTATACACTCTCTGCATCTCCGGTCTGAAAGGGAGCCTTTATTTCCACAGTTATGGTTTTCAGCCCATTACAGAGGGAGAGAGCATGGAGAGATACACAAGTGTGGATTTTAATAACCTTATATTTCAATCTCTCTATTATTAAAAAAAATGTTTGCATTTACTGTGATGGGGGGAAGATTAAAAGGATTGCCATGGATTCCACTTAGGGAACATTACTAATGATTTCAATAAATCACTTTAAATAAAAATCACAATCTCCACAATTCCACCCAAATGCCATTTGGCAAAGGGGTTGATTATGGAAACAAAATGAATTTCGGAATTAGCTGCTTGTCCTAATGCAATTGGACAAATTAAATTTAGGGATACACACATATCCAATGACACACATATCTCATGCAGAAGAGCAGTGTTTTGGCCCCTGGGAAAAAGAACAAATAATGTTTTAGTGGGTTAAGACAGATCTTGTCCCTCATGATGGATGTCAAGTGTTTGTTACAGCCATTTTCTTAGTATTTTTATTTTATGGCTTACCCTCTGTGAAGCTACAGTCAAAGCACTGGTGTTTTATTTCCACCAAGGCAGGATCCAGCTGACTACTGGGACACGGCTCTGATAATGGTTGTGTCCATGCAGAGCTGAAAAACCACCATGACACATCACTAGCAATGCCCAGAGCAGACAGTCTGGACTCCTGTCTGTGACTGGGACCAGATCCCAGGATGTCTACAGAAGGTGAAGCCCAGGTTCTACACCAGATCTGGAGATCTGTGGATGTGGCAACACCTGTCAGGTGCAAACAGAGCTGTAGGGGTGGAGAGCAGAGCTGGAGTTTATTGCTGTGCACTGTGCCGTGGCTTGGGAAGGCTTTGTGTCTCTCCCTGGCTCGGAGCTGTGCAGAAGCTGGCTGAAAATGTAGTCAGGAGGTGCAGCTCCAGCAGCAGTACCTCCATCTGTACTTCTGATTGAGACATTTGTCTCCCCAAGGGTCATTTTTGCAGCCTGAAGGGGTTTTTGTGTCTCTTTTCTGTGTTGGCTGCTGACTCCAAACCCTGATCCTCACCAGAGGAAACCTCTGCACCTGGCCAGAAGAACAGGCACAACAATTTACACCCTCATATGGCACAAGGTAAAACACTCACCACAGGATTCCTTCAAACCACTCACATTTTAGCTATGCAGGGGGACACTCCTATCCAGATGCTGGCTCGTGGGGGCTGCACAGCTCCTGCTCCAGCCCCTGCAGCCCTTCCCTGGAGGAGGCAAGCTGACCTTCATTCATCCCTGGATGCTCTTCCCTGCCTCCCTGCCTGGCTGTGCTCGGCTGCTGCGCTACCCCAGAGCTGTGACTTCATTCCCAAGCAAATTCCAGACCTGCACCAAAGTTTTGACAGCAACCTTCCAGCATGACAAGAAGTTGTGAAATTTAGGCTTATCCTGTATTCCCATTCCTAGCATTCATCCTGCCCAGCGATTTCTGCTTGAACAAAACAAACAAACAAGGAGCAGCAGCAATTTTTAGCAGATGAATCAGAGTGAGCTATCTTTATCTATCTATATATAAAATCACCTTTTTAAAAACTTCTTTTCTGATGCTGTATTATTCATGTATCCAAAGCTGAAGAAGTCCAGATTATAATGATAATAGACATAATAAATATGCCCTATTAAATGCAGTGCCTAGGAAGACTGTTCCCTGTCTGCTGTCTCTGGTAAGCAAAGTAGGGTTTTAACTCTGCGTGTGGCACCATCTCATGGACAGCTTGGCTTATTCAAAGGACTTGAGAGGCTAAAAGCAAGCACAAAATTATCTAGCATGAAAAGCTTGCTTTGTGAAAGAAAAGGGAACATCTCCCAAATAAACAAACCCAGGGCAACAGGAGTAGTTGCAGTGGAGGTGAGGTGGGAAGAATGAATTACATGTTTTGTTTGCATCTCTAGAAAGTGCTGCTTGGCCAGAAAATAGGTAAAAATAGCTGAAAAGCATTTGTAGGGGTTATCTCTGGGTAAGTCTGACAAAAGCAGAACAGGAAGGCCTCATCCCAACAGGTGGGAAAGTACTGTTTCTCCACGTTTCTTTCCACTCACAGCTTTGCTGTCCTGAAATCCAGTGAGAAGGTGAGCCAGGCTGTGTGCACCTGACATCTCCCAAAACCCCTCAAAGGGATCTGGAGGGAGAAGCTGGCAGTCTCTACATTTTCTATCTTCTCTGCCATCTAAGCTGGATATGTAGATCCAAAAAAAAACCCCCTCAGCTGCTGTTTCTTTAATGAAAAATGGAGAAAAAACTGTATGGATGCAAACCTGTTGGAGTTTTCAGAGAGCTTGAAAGGGCAGGACTGAGGTGCCTGTCCACCTGCTGATATCTGGGCTTCAGGAGGAAACTTTAAGTGTCAACAATGGTAGAGGAAAGGAAGAAAGGAAGGAATTGAGCAAGGCAAACAGGAAAACTTACCTCCTTGCCTGAAATATCGCCCTCATTGCAGGCAGAGGTACAGGAGCAGAGACCTCCCCAGATGCCAGTCCTCATTCCCTACAGACACCCCAGGAGGGGCTCTGCTGCCTGCCCCTCACCCAGCCCTTGCTCCAGTACTGTCTCCTCCCAGAGCAGGACCTGCTTCTAACGAGTGACATGTAAAGTTAGGCTGGTTTTTCAGGTGTGGAGAGAGAGCTGGGAAGGGTTGAGAAGCGCTGCTGGGTTGCCAGGCAGGTTACAAATGCACTCTGTGACTCCTGATTAATCTGCCACCTCACACGAGAGGTGATGCAGTGCTCTCTTCTGCATTGCAGATTGTGCTCCCGCCGTGCCCTTTCCCCACCACCCTTCAGAACCCTCACCTGCTATTTCCCAGGCACTCATTCAGTGTCTCACAGTGCATTCATTGCGTGCCTGAGCCCTGTGTTGCTGCCTGCCCAGGTTGTAACTGTGTCTGCAGACTGATCCCAACCTCACAGGTAGGAAAACAGCCCCTGAGGCCACGTCCTGGCCATCCCTGCCACAACATTAAAGGAACTGATGGACTGGAACATGTGCCTGTGTCCTGAATGGGAGTGGTAACACTCCTGTTCCTGTGCTCCAAAGCCACATGTGCAGGTGCTGGGTCCCAGATGGGAACATCCAGCCACTGTGGGTGCTGGAACAGAGGAGAGAAGTGGGCACAGCCCTCCTGGATGGAAGGGTGACAATGCCTGAGAGCATCCCTGTTCCCCATTCAGGTCTGGCAAGGTCAGCCAGCTCCTGGTGAACTGTAGGAGCCCTGGACTGAGTGACAGGAGCATGAAACAGCTCCAGTCTGGACTGAGCTCTGCTGCATCCCAGCAGGGGCATTGCCTGGAGCATCCCGTGGTGCTCCAGCTCTAGCAGCAAGCT